TCCAATATACGAAATTTGTTTGGAGAGTTCTGGGGGGGGGGGCGATCAACCTCTCTACCCCCCCGCCCTTGTATCCGCCATTGAAGTAGAGACGGTGGATTATTGATATGCCTGGACACGGTTGAACTTTGAAAGACGTCTAGCGGAGGAGGCTCACAACAAAGACGGGCTCGGTTTGCGTAACGAGCGTATTGCGATTCTCTAGAGGTAAGTAGTAGCGATAATCATTATTGTAATTCACTTATGTATAAAAAAAAATCACAATTAACGATATGTAACGATAATAACGAGCGACGTTGCGAATAAAAGCAAATTGAACGATATTGATCATGAAAATTAGTCTTGATTGGGATCGTCGCACCATTAAAAGATTTTAATTAAATTTATATTTCAAAAACTGAAAACGATTATTGATTTATGCCGATTTCCTTAATCCTATTTTTATTATGTAACTCAATTTATATTCAATTAAATTAATGACACATTACAGCCTAGACGCTGTGTAATTCTCTTCCACGGAACTGTTAGGAAAGAATGAAGTCGAAAGACGGAGTGAAGAATTGCTTTTCTTTTTTATATTTCTTTCTTACCTTTGTTTTTTTATACAAATAACAAAACTGCCTATGATATGTGCATATAAATAACTAATTCAATAATAAATGCATAAGTTACTAATTCAAAAAATTATTTATTTATTATTCTTATTATATCTTAAATTATTCAATTATTTTATTATGTAAATATCAACCGTAACATATATTTTCAATTGCAAAATGTTGCTAGAACATTGTTGATATTATATTACAATCCTACATTTCTATAATGTTATATTACATTGCAATCTGTAATATTGTAATACTACTATAATATTTCTGGAATAATCTGTACTGTATGCATAAGAATTCTTTGTATCTTATTTCCACTAAACCGATTAAATATTATAAGTTATTAGTTATCTTATACAAATGTATATAAGATTTATAAGATTTATGTATTTATATAAAAGTATTCTAATAATTAGAATTCTAATCTTTACATAATTAAAAATTCATAATAAATCTGGAAAATAATTAAAACATGCTGCGAAAGAGGAATCTTTTAGCCGAATTAATTTAACTTTCAATTACATAGCACAGTAGAGCTATTGCATATTGGAGCTGAAAATCAGATAATTATCACATAATTATTGCAGCTCACACAATCAGAGATTAAAGAAGAACTATTTTTAAATTATCTGCCAAAACTGTGCTCGCGAATTTGTTTAAAAAGATCACATTTTCAGAAAGTTAAATTCACAAGTTTGACAAGTCAAACCGGATGGCAAACATAGAGATATACAAATAGACATACAAGCGTATTTTCTGCAAAATTTATTTAAAATAATTAAGAAAAAATAAACTAAAAACAAGAAAATACATTTTATCATAAAATATTAAGTATGTGAAACATGGAAAGCATGAGATTTAGTAAAAACGACTTTTAGTCACAATTCTGCAAAAACTCGAAGTAATAAAACAGAAAATTTTTATTACTTTCATTAACATCAAATTAATAAACATTGACATGAAATATTTCAAATGACAAATACTGGAACAATAGCTATTTTCTTTTCGTACATGCGTTTTATACCGTATTTATTATTTAAACCGATAAAAGACTCATTACGTCTGCTTTTTCCTTTTTTTATCAATAATCGAAAAACAATCGATTTCCTAGCAAAAGTTTTTCCTTCAATCAACCTCGTCGCATTGGTGCGTGCTAATTTTAGCGTAAATTCGGTTTAACCAGCGCGAGAAAGCCGTCGGCGAAAATTCGACGAGGGTAAAACAATCAGACTAACGCGAAAACTGTATCAGACATGCAATTCGCACTAATTGTCCCGCCGGTCCTTCCAGGCAGCCCCCATCCCTTCTCTCACTCTGATAACTGCCCGCCTTCTAATCTCCGAGCTCGTGCTACAATAGGGTGATGATTACCTGAACGGTGCAATTTGGTATCCTCGAAACGGAGGATACGAGAGGAGAGGGTATCCATCCTGCCTCTCCTCTCCATCCTCTTCGTGCTGTCGCCCCGTTCGGAAACATGCCACATTACGATCGTCTTTCAACGATTTCAAATCTAGAAAATGTAAAATCTTCCAAAGCTACTGAAATATTTTAATAATATTAGATTTATATAACGCATGACCTACGTTTTTTTTACTTTAACAATTTGATTTGCATCGAAGTTTAAAATAGAACACTGTTGTCAATTTCGTATGCCTTATTTTTTATTATACGTTGTGAATATGATCATATTAAATAAGTTTTTTTCACAAGTTGTGAATATTTTTGCAAATTTGTTTGTGAATGAACAGATTGATTCCATGACTTCATAGCTCTTTTCTATTTCGAGATAGAAAAAGAAGAAAATCTTTCACTGTTTAATATGACCTACCATATGATCTACCATTATGCAATTATATATATATTTTTTAAAAATCATTTATCATATTAGAGCAAATCTATTCTTCTCATTGTTTTATATGTATGTAAATGTAAAATAATCGAAAAAATCACATAATACTTTGCCAGATATTACACATTTTATGTTATAAAATTTGAAAAGGACAATGACAAACCATCGAGAGTACCTTTGCCAAGTCAGACCATGGAGCATACGTGAGTAGCATATACAAATGGAGATCACGATCTTCAGTCTTTAATCAAGGATCGATTTAAGAAAGGTTGTTACAAAATTACTTCATTACATGAAATTCTTAAATAGATCACCGTAATATTTTAAAACTTTTCTATAATACATTTTTTAACCCTCCGTGCACCAGGTGGAAAAAATCAACGTGCCGAACCATGTATATCTACCCCATATTATTACTTCACTTTAAGGCGAACCTAAAGTCGTCCGTTTTATCGATCAAACGTGATTATTTTCCATGACAAAATAAACATAATTAAAGACAACAGATTTAAAAATCTTTCTCCACGATTAAAGTATAGGCATCAATGTAGCTCCGGCTGGTAGAGATTATGTTGAGAACGAAAAAATTTTAAGAAATTTAGATCTCCGTTACCTTTTTTTAGTTCAACATAGCGTCTAGAGCTGTCAACATGTGCTAATATTTGCTTCGTACAAAAATTTGGCAGTTTGTTGGTACAAAATGATACCAGCCGGAACTACTACAAATTATATGTGCAAACAATGTTGAGTTCATAAAATTAGGCTTGGATGCCAAATAAAAAAAATATATGTTCTTAAAAATTTGTTACGATGTGTGCGTACGATATTGATATGGTAGTAAACATGAACATCACTACATATTATTACATCAATATTGCACGCATACATACTCACAAATTGTCGATAAAACAGTGATATTTTTAGAGTTTGATTCCAGTTTAGGATCGCCTTAAGTAGGTATATTAATTTAATACAATAATTTCGACTGTCATAATATCGATTCTTGTTCCTTAAGATGTAAAAATAAAACAAAATAATAAACTCTTATTTTTTAAAACAAGAAAACAAAAATAATACTATTTTTTACAAACTAAATTTAAGCAGTTTTAATTTTGTTGGGGTATGTCACACCCATCTAGTGCACGGAGGGTTAAATATTTTTTATACTATTGCCAAGTTGTGAATAAATTAAATTAAAACAAATTGATGTAATTTTCTTTTTCAAGTTATTTTTTTAAATGAATTTCTGCAAACACAATTATACTTCAGGAAGATCTAGCAGTGTTAACCTTTCGATTATTTTTACATTGTTCTTACAGTTAAACTTATTTTTGTAGAAGAAAATACTTTTATAGTAGAATTTTATTTATTCAAACATGTTGGAGAACAAGACAGTTCGGATATTCGAATAATTCGGATAATATAAAGGCTCATTTAATAATTTGGATAATAATAGCTTACTAATAATAGTTCAGAAAACTCAAGTCAACTTTATATTATCTGAATGGTTCGAATAATAAGAGAGTTCAGCTATATTTGCAGGAATTTCGCAGGAAGCAAGAATTTGTTTGTAGTTATAAGTGGAGCTCGAATAAATGGAGTTCTACTGTATGCGCAAAATAATAAAAAGAATCAATTTGCGCTAAGAAAAATATATAATTCCATTTTAAGAGAGTACAAGTTTATTGTTTGAAAAAATATAATCTTAGAATAATATGTCACACTGAACAATGAAACATTTTCTTCTACTAGTTTATCTATCTTGATTAATAATAAATAAAATCTATCTTGATTAATAAATAAAAAAGACTAATAACCCAATTATTGTGCCTTTTCTATTTTGTAATAAAAAAGTTATTTATAGTGATATTGTCTATTTGGCATCACATTTGAATTAATGTAATGATTAAAAATGATCTATTTTTCAAATAATATTCTTAAGATAACATTAATTAAATAAGTTCATAAAACGCGTGAATTTGCCTTTATTATAGATCCCAAGTAATAATATGACGTCAAATGACGTCATCTTGTCGTTTCAATAACATCTTTTGATGTTATTAAGATATCACCTTGCTATTTGAAATATGTATTATGTGTATATTAACAAATTATACTTATCTGTTGATAATCGTTCTGTCCTTATTTACCTCATGTTATACTTTATGTTATACTTTATAAATCTTATTTATTGTGAAATCACTTAATTATGTTTGATTTCTAGTAATATTTTTGGAAATTGCAATTTTTGATCGAAAACAGTGGATGTGTGTTTAATCGCGTGAGATCGTCGTGGGAATAGTTATCCATTATGCTTTCT